ACATTTCAAGGGTAAATGCTAGTGAAAATCAGACAAGGGGTAGTGATGATCTTGGGCGAAGATCAAGTGTAACAATATATTTGATTTTATATAGACCTATCTTTTCAAATAACTTATAAATTTTTACAACTCTTTGAGTTTTTTGTACAAGATATCTCATAATATATTTGAAAATTGTAAGCATAAATCTTGTGATTGTTTTTTACGAAGAATGGAGAGTAGATTTTCAATTTCATTATAAATTAAGGTTTTTGCTTTTTTCTTGCCAACTTTATTTTTACTACTCATCTCACCAACTTGAAATTCAAAATCCCTACTATAAAGAGATCAACACATGATTTCTTTTTTATTAGCCTTTAAAGCTTGATCTTCTGCAACTATGACTGTATATAGGGTTTCTAACAATACTACTTCGATACCAGTTTGATACTTAAATTTACTATAAAAACATATAAGTAGGTCACAACCTATATATTAAATTTACTATGGATCAGTACCATTTCGATACCAGTTTAATATCAGTTTGGTACTTTTTCGAAGCCCTAGCTATATCACACAACTGAGCTAAATGTTGTGATATTTTATTAATGTCAAATGAATTAACAATACTCTTTGCAAAATCATTCATGCCCTCAAGTTTTCAGGACAGGTTATCTTGGAAATTTCAATATGTTCTGGTTTAATATTATTTGATATAGAGTGATCTTACAATTTTGACTCTAAATAAGTATTGAACAATTCTTGCTAAAGTTTATCTATTTCTTTTTTTTATGGCTAACTGAAGATAGGTCTTGATCTCAAAGCTTCTCCTTATGTTTTTTCTGTCTGATCTTATTGCTGATTCTTTTCTTATGCACCTCACCAAGAAATCCATCAATCTCTTTATCTTTCAATATCTTGGAATTGGCAGAAGGAACTGTATCATTTATATTACAATCAGACTTATAATTTTTGAACCAAACTACTTAAAAATCAGGTACGATAACAGCTGATACTACCTCTGATATCACTTTCTTAAATACATTAGCATCCTCACTCCGTAAGTCATTCTGTGATTGTCCATCCACTGACACAGAACTCTGTTCCACTACTGCAAGACTAGCCTCAAGCTCTTTATTCTTTTGCTCTAATTCCTTGATTATAACATCATGCTTTATATTCTCTTCAGTAATTAGCTTTAGCTTTATATTTTCAAATTTAATCTTAACAAATTTATTTTCAAGTTTGGAAATCTTGGCATTCTCCTTTCTAAGTTCAGAAATCTCAGCCAAGAGCTTCGAATTTAATTCTTTTAATGAATTGATTTTGGATTAAGCATTTGACATTACTTTTATATAAAAAGCACATTTATTCAAAATCTTTTTATTGTGCAAAGTATTGAAGTTAAATTTATATAATTAAAATTGCAAGACTGGCATCTGGAAAAATGTCAAGAAAAATAAATACAATTGATATATTTACAGTATATGCGAAAATCTTTATTAACTCATGATGATCAGTACATTAAAATATTAACAAAGTAATGATTCACCATGTCTATTGCTTTTTTCCACAGTATCGAAATTATCTATTAATTCTAGATGAAGCAAGGTCTGGCTATTAATATTGATAACACCTGGATTAAAAATATTTGTCGTGATATTTATAACTGGAAATTTATTTTTTTTTTTTATTTTTTTTTTTTAAATCGCAAATAAGCATTAAATGCGAGACTTTTATTAAACGAGAGTTTATAGCCATTACATTAAAGATCTTTACAGAGAAGTGTAATTTAATCCTAGCCTATTGCAACTTTTTCTGTTAACACTTAACTTGCACCAAGTAGGTGGGTCAATGCTAGCAGTATTGAATGGCTAATGCCTATTCAAAATAATGATACAATTGTGGGTATAATATATTTTTGTCTGTTAAGTTATTATTTGATGCTAAGGTATTAAGTATTTTATGGAATGTGAAACTATCATTTTTGGTATTATGGTCAGTTTTCATGACTGTGGTTTTTCTCCATTTTATTTCTGAAGTTGGTGATGTGGTGGCTATCGCTAAGAATTCCTTCCATACTTTGTATAAAATTTTGAGTGCTTTGTTTGAAATTGCAGCCTTGTTGTTCAATGTTTTGTCTAGAGGAGATTGAAGGTCTCCAAGTGTGAGATTAACTATATCGAGTGTTGTTATTGTTATGATGGTTGGTAAGAGTGTTTTGTCATTGCCAGGTGTTTGAACAGTATTTTTGTTTATTAGGTCTGTAAGTTTGTCTTTCTTTTTTCTAATAGTAGATAGGGCATAAATGCACTGGAAGATATGTAGTTGATCTTCTGGAAATGCTTCGCACCATGGACAAAGGTTGCTGTCATATACGTCAGGGTATCTTCTGTGAAGTTTGGCTCTTGTGAGAAGTTGGTTAGCTATCAGTTTGGTTTTGAAAGCTGTGAGGCTTCTATATTTGAATTGGTTATCTTTTTTAAGTTTTTTGTTGGCTTTGCAGATCAGTTCTAGTGCTGTCATTGAGAAGGGCTTATAAATTGCTGATTGGCTCAATAATATGTCAAAAAATTTGGTATAGAAGTTGACGAACTTGATCCATTGTGTGGTGCTAGTAGTGTAGTTATTGTTAATTAGTGGTGAGGTATCGTGTGTTTCTGGAAATATTTGTGGCACTGTTGTGCCACTTTGGATGTTGGACGGAGGTTGGGTTTTCAATTCTTTTTTGATAATCCATTCCAGTATTATGTTTTTGTTTTTAATTTCAATATTAATAAGTCAGATGTATCTATTGTATAGAATTTTGACCTGGCAGTTAGTGTATTCGGGTAAGTTTAAATTTGGTTTGATTTGAAGTTGGCACCAAATTATGGAATTGGTAGGGGTTTTTTGTATGTTTTTTAATAGAATGGGCCAAAAACATGACCAGGGATTGATATTTAGGTTGTATAGTATATTTGCACTAGGTTTTTAAATGATAATTTTTTCTTTAAGGAAGAAGATGGTGGTTGTTATAGGAGGCAGTGAGTAGTTGAGAGGACTGTTTGTAATAAGAATGGCTAGTAGGCAAGGTGGTATTGAAGAGAATTGAAATAAGAGTTCATTGACATTGTTTAGGAGAAGTGGGTTATTATTATATATTGTTGTCCATGTTGATTTAGTGTCTGTGATGTCCTTTTCTATGATGCATGGTTGGAGATTGCATATACACTGTATAATTCTTTTGTTGGATAGTATTTGATGGTGTTGTCCTTTGACTATCTGCTGCCGACTTGCGTTTATCTTGACCTTGATTAGATCAACCACCCCACCATTGAGAAAAGCTCAGAAGTGGGGTTTTTGATTGGGTACTGAAAGTGAGCTACCTAAGATCCCGTGATTTGTTAGTGATATGTTTTTAAACCAGTTTGGTATTGGTCCGGGCTGTATATATTCTCTATGTGTATGTAATTCGTTTCATGACAATTTGTTGTCACTGTTGTATATGCAGATGTTTTTAATGGTTCTGATGTTCGTATAGTGTAGAGAGAGAGAATTTGCTTTGGTGATTCTTGTTACTAGCCCTATTGAGTAATTATAATCGGGATTCTTGAATGGGCATGGATAGGGGCAAATATTGATTTGATATTTTTTTGCAATTTGTGCGGTAAGTGTCAATCAACAATCCTTGAAATAATATGGATTACAGATAGGGCATGTCCAGATGGCATGTAATGCTTGCAGGAATCTGATTTCTTTGGTAAAAGAGTTGCGAGTTTTTCTATTGGCTAGTTTTGTGACTAGGAGTTTGACCGCTGTTATGTGGATTCTATTCTGAAGTTTTATAATGTCTAAACCAGCTTGTGAGTATAGGACTTTGTTCGAGATTGTTTTTTCTACTCCAAGTTTACTTTTGATGGCCATATTGAGTTTTGCCTGGAGAGCTTTTGTGTCATTATCATTGAGGATTGATACTTGGGTGGCGTACTCAATTTGTGCTGGTATTATCCAATGAGAGGCCTGTCTTGTAATTAGACCATTCCATCCTTTTTGATTAGCAATCGCTATAGAAAAGTTTGAGACCATCTCTTTAAGGTAGTTTTTTGTTGCGGTGAATGAGGATTTTCCAGATAAGTAGATTCTGAGGTATTTAATTAACTCATTGTATGATTTGGGTAGGACTGGTGTATCTTCAATTGTAAGAGCTTGGTTCCTTTGGTCATTTTTGGATTTCAGGTTTGTAATAAGTTCTGTTTTACTTTTGTTGCACTTGATTGAGTTTAAAGTTAGGAAGGAGCAGAAAGTATTGGTGGCTCTTTGTAAGGTATGCATGTTTTTGTTGATGATTGCAACATCATCCATGTATGCTAGGATAGTTGATTTGTTGGTAGAGTCTTTGATAACTGCACAGACCATTGGGTCATAGAAGATGGTTCATAATAGTGGTGCAAGGGTTTCTCCTTGATCGATTCCTTTATTAACTTCAAGTGGATCTGTGAATTTATAATATGTGATGATTTTGAGTTCCCTTTTTCTGAGTAAATTGAGAATTAACTGGATGATTTGATTTGGGATTTTAATTCTTTTCATTGCTAATTCCAGACTGGAAAGGTTTACTGAGTCAAA